GCGTCAATGTATCGGCAGCTTGTGCGAGCTTCCGTTCTGGCAAGAGTAATCTCTTTGTTGGTGAACTTTTTGAATGTTGGTGCACTCTGTATATGTTGATGCACTCTGTATATGTTGATGCACTCTGTGAATGTTGATGCACTTTGTGAATGTTTATGCATTGTGTGTATGTTGGTGCATTGAGTGGAGGGTGGTGAAGTGTGTGGATGTCGATGAACTCAGTTAGTGTTGATGCATTCTGCGAATTTTGTTGGTTGCAATGCGTAAATGTTAGTGCATTGTGAGAATGTTGTACTCTGGTGATGTTGACGGGCTCTATGAATGTTGACGCACTCATTGTATGTTGCTGCATTTTGTGATTGATGCGCAACTGTGAATGTTGATGTGCAACTGTGAATGCTGTTTCACTGTGTTAATGATGATTTGCGCTGTTAATTTTGATGATGGTTAATTTTTCAATAATTTCAGATGGTTGTAAGCAAGCATCGTAAGAAATTATTCCTCTAACTCCTATACGTATTTAAATGAGACTATATTTAAAACATATCGGATACAAGTTAGCTTTGAGACCTTATAGGGTTATGGGCTCGTTCAGTGCTGCTGGGAAGCGAACGGATGTTGAGTTGATAACAACGGGCTTAGATAAGTTCGTGAGTGTATAGCTACAGCGTTGAAGATGCTCCATGTAATTTCCATTAAGATATTGGAATACCGATTGAAAAAATAATGAGTGAAAGCACTTCAAAATTAATATTGCATCAGTATATGTATTAAATTTTAAGAAAAAGAGAGATTTTTCAAATAAAACTACTACTGATTAAGAGGATTTCCACCGAATTGACGGGTTCGTAATAACTGCAGATTACGGGCTCTGAGAAACTGCATTAGACCGACAATTCCCAGGCATTTGTATCCTGAAGTGAAAGATAACGAATATTTCATACATAATAAAAATGAACTGAAACTTGCAACGATAAAAAAACACGATCAACGATCAAAAAACATTGAAAAACTGAAACAACGATCAAAAGTTCAACGCAATGTTCCGACACATTAATTTCACGTCGCGGTCTCGATCGAGCGTTCACTGATTTATTTTTCCAGGTACGCATAAAAACGAACGATTATCTACAGCTATTGAAGTGAATGCCAGTCCGCGGGTACTAAAGCAATATTCTACACGGTGACGTCAAGGAAAAATATGAGCGTCTCCGTTGCCTGTGCACGCCAAATTGTTTTCTGGTATGTAACGGTCACACAATGTATGTGTTTTTCCATGTACTGCATCGACCCATAAGGCCATACCTAAATCTTTCAATATTCCAATGTCTCTTCTTTTATTCAGTTTTAACTGCTCCTTCCATTCTACTATATATTGTTTTAAAAGTAGCATACTTGATTATTCGACCTAAGTAATTCGACATTTCATTTATTTTATAATTTGTAAAGGTATTCATGAATGACTAATATAATTAAAATTTTCGAGGCTTTTTGACTGATATGAAAGTATTGACCAAAATCTAGGAGAATATTACACCATAAAATATAATTAATACAATTGCATTATCTGTAGATACTAGCAGAAGTCCAATAGAAGTTTAGAATTTATTACTTCTGTTGTTTAGTTTCTGCTACGACTTCTACAATAAACTGGAGTACATGATAAGTGCTCCATCAAAGATTTTTCATGTTGTGTCTTCGGAAATAGATTAATTTCTCGGGGAATCTCCCTGTGTTCCGATACTCGATCGCTATCGAGAAGAATAGTTCTTATGTTGCAGTAATTTTATTCTAGGGTAATTCCCATCATGAATATCGGCTTCCGCTGCACTATTTTCCTACTTCCCTTGGGGTACTTGACGCAAAAATATACTTGTTTAAGTTAAGTTAATTATAATTAAGTTTTTTTCACGAAGTAAACGAAAATGCATTAAATTATTAAGCGTTCTCTCCCAACGTTGGTTGAAAAAATTCTGATGTATTTTCTAAAATGTTCCCCAAAATATATTTTAAATTACGCGGCTTAATTACTCTGTCCAACACTATGAAGAAACTAAAGTTATTTATTTTCGAAACACAAATAATCTGGAATTCACTCTTAATAGGCAGGATTTTGTATTTTCAAACTGTATTACCGAAATAACTAGAATAATCTGGACTTTTCGTACGCTGTTTCACTGGCCTTATTTACTACGTTCTATTTGATTCTAGGACTTGCAAATTCAATGGCCTCATCGTCACGTTATCGTCAAGTTATGGCCTTTCCGTCACTGCCAGGATATATAAGTCAGCGTTGTGTCCGGTGCGCGTAAGTAACGTGCTAACTCTGACGGTGATGGCATGTGCACATTGAGGCGTGTTGTACCCTTCAATCCTGAGTAACGAGAACATTTTGCTGACCTGTTAACAATTTTTTTAAGCGTAGAGTATGGAAAAATAATTAAGCTAACTCGAGTTTCTTTCAGTAGTGCACTAGATTGATACTACAGGCGGCACACGCTAAAAAAACAGCCTTACTAATCAGCTAAAAGCTACAGTGCAGTTACTGCAGTAGGAGTCTCCTGCATCGTCTCGACTGAAGGTCAGTTAAGGCGCAGTGAATATGTGCATAAATCGTTATTATTATCCATTTCAAAGCCTCAACTGGAAAGTTCAAGATCGAAAGATCAAGATCTTTGGTGCCTCAAACATTCCAGAACTATAGACTGGACAGATGGATTCTCTCCTAGGGATGGGATTCGGCCAGCATCCTTGTTCTTGGAGTTCTCACTGGTTATCCTCCCAGTGGAGTTCTCACTTGTTATCCTCCCAGTGGAGTTCTCACTGGTTTTCCCCCAGAAACTAATTTACCCCTTAACTTGAGAGCCACAACGATGTAGTAACAAACATTCAGCAAATATATCAATCTTTTTTACGCGCACTGGCGTGGAATATATTTTAATGGTTGCTGCAGCAATAGCGAAATGGACTGTCAGCTTGTTAGATTGAGGGCGTCGATGCGTCGCATCCGTTTGCAGGGATCGGGAATCCCAGGACGTCGCTTCCTGAACTGCGGAAAACACCGGTTTCTGCTTTGCTACTACCAGAGTGCACGGTAGAATTGAAAAGGTCTTTTTTCGGTCAAATTCCGCTATTGTTTTTTCGATTGCATCGGCCGGCCAAATCTTTAACGGTAGCAATTTCTTCTTGTATTTTACAAATTTCCAATAAAATAAAGTTGAATTTTTTGCATCGAAACTTCCAAATGCACTGGTAAATTCTGATTTGTTAGTGCGCCGACTTGGCTATTTTTAGATCATCTGACAACCCTGGTGTACAAAGTAATCGATGCTGTGTTATTTTAACGGCATTAGCTTGTCTAAGCTGTGCAAACTGGACAATCGTTGGTGTACAGAGTGACCAATCTTTACTGTGCAGAGTGAGCAATCTTTTCTGTGCAGACTGAGCAATCTTTGCTGTGCTGAGTGAGCAATGTGCGTTATGGGCGATTGTGCAGACTGAGCAATGTGCGTTGTGCAGACTGAGCAATGTGCGTTGTGGGCGGTTGTGCAGACTGAGCAATCGGCGTTGTTGTGTAGACTGAGCAATCGGCGTTGTGCAGACTGAGCAATCAGAGCTGTGCAATCAGCGCTGTGCAAACTGTAAAATCTATGTTTCCGCTAACTTGCCAATATGCGGATGTGTTAGGGTTGTCTGAGTCTCGTGAATGAGACGCCCCCGAAACATCTTCGTAACATCGACGAAGTGTCCACTTTTTAAGCGCACTTGATCGCTCATGTGCTGCAATCTGTTTCGGGATGTGTCTGCAGGCCCGTTTACACTAGGGGCACAATATGGGCGGTGAAATACGTGTCAAGCGCTTGCTGCAGCATCTGACATTCACTACCGTGCACGTTTATTTCTGCTCGCGGTAGCTCGCGACCGCGCGCTTCGAAGATTTGTTGATATATTGATCTTTATAAAGATAAGATTCATTGATCTTTATAGAGACAAGCTTCATTATCTCTATAAAGGCCAACTTGCCTCTACTAGAGAGTGATTCCAAACGAGTGCGGCGTTAGTCGACATATTGTTGCTAAAGACCAGCATAAACAGACAGCCTCGCTATACCACAGACAGTCGTCTACTGAGTGCGGGAACGCAGCCTTGTACCACAAATTTGTGCACCAATTCAGTCCTGAAAGAAACGCCTAGCATATTTCCTGATGATCGACTACCAATCAGCCGTGCATTAACCCTGCCGTCAGTAATCAGCTCCTGACATCATCTTGCTTTAAATATTAGGAGCTTTACGCTACCATATTCTGAAGCGAATAGCCCAGAGAGTAATGGTTGTCCACCACTGAGCGTTGCATCGAATCATCACTTCATACCCTGACTTTAGCTCAAACTGTAGCTAGCGGACTACGGACTGCGACCAACCAGCCCAGCTCGCCAGTGGAACTGCAAGCATCCTGCCGTGCACCACCAGACGGTCGCTTTTAGCTCACAACATCCAGGGTTAGGTTTCAGATAGCATAGTTCTGTTCCAAAATTTATCGTCGTACGACGCGTGGACGTTCAACCGTAGGCTGGTTCGACACACTGGACAGATACGAACGGCTCCGGCGCGCTCCGTCCGGATGGTGTAAAAATTTTTCGCGTATTGGCAGACGAAGCTGGGCCATTCTACGTCAGGCTACTTTCCTGGGGGCTGATTGATCCAATTCAATGGATGCGATCTGTCGCGTGGCTTGCGACTGATAATGTTACTGTCAAAAAGTGTGGTAGGCTACGTTCCTGAGGGATGGGATCATGGGATCACGCCCTCCATTCGATGCAAGGCAGTGGCGGTCTCCGACAGGCGACCATGAGTGCGGCGCTTGTGGTGCATGAGGAAGGGTGACTGTGCATCGCTAGCGCGTCAATTGCTTTTTGCCCACAAGAAGCGCACGTAGACGCTATACAGAGGGGCTGTGAGGCTCTTGACGCCTTTGTGTTGCCCCTAGTGTGAACGGGCCTTAAGGCGCACAGCGCTCGGCAACGCCTGTGACATGCACGCTACGAGCATGACACGTCGGTGTAACATCCTTAGCTGCCTCCCAAACAAGATTAAAAATACGTATTAACATCTTTTGCACTTTCATCGATTCTCCTCACTCAGTGAACTTTTTACTCATTCACGTACTATCAGTTACTTTTCAGCACATGCCAGCATATCGTTTTAAATGAATTTAATTGGATACTCATACCTCAAGTGTTCGCGTTCGAAGAAACTGAGAAGACGCCGCGGAGGATCAAACCTGCGCTCAATATGAAGTGGGCTGCTGCATGAGGGTTGCTGGGAGCCCCAGCTAGACCACTACAACACGTACGCGCAATACGATACTTTTCGTCACAGTGTTTGTTATGAGTTATAAGTAGCCCTACCTCAATAAATTGGACTACTAATCTTAATAATACCTAATTGGGTGCTTGAATTGCGTATGCGTCGCTCATATTCATTATTGTCTACGAAGGAACACGCGTGTAATGAAACATAAATCAGTTTACTATCTCCAGTGTGAATTTTGAAAGCAGTTGTATAAATTCGAGTTTCCGCGGGCGTGACAGTTTTCATTAGTTATCTAAGGAAAAAGTTTTTTCTATTCTTGATGCATTCGAGTTCCTAGATTTAGAAACGATGAAGCAGTTGTTTGTTGCTGTCGTGCGCCCGAACCTGGAGTTTGGAAACGTCGTGTGGTCACCGAAATTTGAAAAGGACAAAAATTTAGTAGAGAGTGTTCAAAGACTGTCTCTTATACACATCTAGATGTGTATAAGAGACAGCTATGAGGAAAGATTAAAGATTATGAAGCTTCCAAGCCTCCATTATCGACGTCTGCGTGGGGACCTCATTGAAGTATACAAATATACTCATGGCTTATACAAGGTCCCAGAAGGATTACTAGAATTTGAAACAAGAACCAACACCAGGGGCCACGGCTATAAACTAAAAAAACAGCGTTGGAACACATCCATGCGACAACATTTCTTCTCGCTTCGAGTCACCGACATGTGGAACAGCCTCCCTGATAGCATCGTTGAAGCTCCGAGTATGAACATCTTCAAAAACAGACTAGACGAAGCTATGCAGGAGCATATGTTCAGTCTTAAAATGCCTAGCAAATTACGGAGCAGGCAATAAGTCCAGCAGCTATCTCAATCAATCGTCAGTTATGGAAAGATCGGGTTCCAAAGGCCGGATCCCTTGTGAATCAAGTCACGAAAAGTTCAAGAATCGGCAACAGGCCATGGGCCTATGTCTTCAACGCCGACACTTCTATTCTATTCTATTCTATTCTATTCTATAATTTTCTCTAGGAAGCAGAACAATTGAGAAAATACAGAATTCAACTTAGAGGCAGACTACTTGAAAGTTAGCCCAGTCCTCACTCACTTTATGACTGCCTATGAAACAAAAGAAAGATATTTAGCTGACATTTTTTTATCATATCCAAGTAAGAACAATTATAATAGTTTCATTTGGTCCCTTTATTACCCACTTCGATATAAGTAAATAAGATGGCAGTTCTCACCCGACTTCCTAGCCTGGTGCACCAGAATGGTCAGCGCCGCCGTGTCTAGAGACTCCGAGTTCACTCTGAACATGAAGCTCTCGTGGAAGCCAGTCTCGCCGTGACTGTTGGGGCGAACTTCACTCGACTTCTTGGTCTTCACCACCTGACGACACAGACAACTTTAGTACTGTATAGTACGTAGTATAGGTTAGCATAGCGGTGTCAGCGTTCAGTAAGCCTTCAGACCTGTCAGTGACAGATTCTTAACATCGGATAATATTCACAGCTTGTTGCGAGTCTCGATAACGCTACTCACTGCTTCGGTTTTGCAGTGCATAACCGTCCGGCCACCTCACCGATTTGACCAGAACTGTCACAGGCAGCTGGGATCGAACCCACAACTCAAGGCCCTTTCACACAGGGCAGTAGATACTGCGCGCGTCAAAAATGCCGCGGCAGTATTTACTGCGCAATCTTTCACACGAGGCGCTTTTTACTGCTGGGATCTATCAGTCTTGCAGTGCTTTATGCTTCATCAGTCCATCTCTATGTTTATGTAACAATATTTCTTTATGAAAATATATCTCTATGTGAGAATGATGTAAATACATCTCTATGGAAATACCTATATATTTATGGAAAATATATCTTTTATAAAATATATCTCTATCACTTTAAAGAAATATATATTTAACATTGTATATCTTTATGTTTATGTAACAATATTTATGTACCGATATTTATGTTACAATATCAGTCTATAATCTATCAGTCTAGCAGTGCTGTTTATTATGCACCTAAAATACGGTGCCACTGTCTGTACCACACTAGGATCTGGCGTCAAAAACCGCCCAGTGTGAAAGATTACATTGAATACCATTGCAAGCTTAACTGTCGCGACAAATCTACCGCCGCAGTTTTAGCAGGACGGACGCTGGCGTCAGGCGTCAAGTTCTACGCCGCAGTAAAAGCAGTCGTGTGTGAACAGCAGTGCACATTTCGTATGTCCGCTAAGGTTCGGCAGTAAATACTGTCGGACGCTGGCAGTATTTACTGCCCTGTGTGAAAGGGGCCTCACTGCTCCAATGTTGCTGCTTCTGAACTGTAACCACTAGCTGGGCCAACCGGCTTTGACGCGCCTAAACATTTACTCGCCCTCACTTGGATGAAATGGAATGACATGGGGCATTTATAAGAACATTTGAATACAAAGAGCAAATTGGTTACTTTGGATAAGTATAAGTATTGCAATGGATAATCGGGTAGAAATTAAAGATCACGTTGATATATAAAAGAGTAGTCGTTAGTGTTGAAAATTAATCATCCTTTGAAAGACGGAAGTATAAGAAGTTAGTATTCAAAGAATATGCGTTTCCTCGTTTTGTCAAGTGCTATGCACAATCGAGTAATAATATTTTATCATTGTCGTCTGTCGACAGTTGAAGCCTTTTTCCTCGAAATGGTGAAAACAAACACGCGGCATCATTCATTATCGCAATTGACCAAATTTACACGCGCAGATAATAACGTTTAGCATTAAGAGTGATACGTAAGTCATTTATGGCAGCTGACATCATTGTAACGCTCATAGTAAAATATTGTTCATATAATGATTTGGTACATGGTAAAGGAAGACGCGCACTGCTGGTCATGCAGGTTACACGTTACAGCAAAACGTCCATAAGTGATAAATGGTTTATAAAAAAGTGTTTATAAATGCCACAGCTGTCTAACAAACATGAAAATAATGTGTAACACATTAGCTTAGAGTTAAATATTTTTAAATTGCGAAGCTTTAGCTGAGTTACATTCCCGCGCTTCACTTAATTAATGGTGATGTGAATTTGTGATATATATAGTATAGTATAGTATCTTCGGCATTAAATAAATAGGCCTGGATAGGCCTGTCGCCGATTCTTGTACTTTTCTTGACTAGACTGGCCTTACGGACGGAAGATATCAAGTTTATATATAGGTATATCCCATAATTTAATCCCCTTACTATCAAATTAATTCAAACTCCATGTGGGTGATCATGCTGAGATAGAATCGGGCCTTTTCAGTGGCACAAACGGTAGTTAAGTTCATATATTTGAATTATATGATCAATTTGACAATTTGTCGTTATTTATATTAGTATCGCCAAACTTAATCTACAGAAGTTTACCATATATAGATTTTTTAGATAACTTCCGTTGTAGAAGAAAAATTTTGAGGGCAGACTGCATTCAATCTTTCTTCGTCATCTACCTAGCTGCTAGCTCTAGCCACCCCTCAGGGGACAGGGGGGACTCCTGACGGGTGTCTGTGCTCGTCAGAAGTCCTATGGGATTTCGCGCTCCTGGGTGGATTGTTCCTGAGCGCCCCACCGCTGAGCTCGCGGTGTCTGACAGTAGGTCTCAGTTGTGGGGTTAAGTTATTATGTAGGTAGGATTCCTTACATTTCCCTTCTCTGTCTCTCTCGTGCGGGCGGCCGACGTCCTGTGTAAGCGACCTCTTGTTAGAGTGTCTTCGTTTCTGTTGTTTTTCACCTGTCCCTCCTTGTCACTTCGTCTATTTGAGATGCTAACGCTGCTTCCTTCGAGCCAGCTTCAGCGGGCTAGACATCTGAGGCTTTCCCGCCCCTTGTGGGTGATGAATAATTGAGACCTTCCACCTCTATGGTGATGTTCATCTTGACTTTCGGTGCGAGATAGCTAAACAGCTGAAGCGCTAGTAAACATTTGGCCACTAAACTAACTAACTAACTAGCTCTAGCCAATAGCCACGCGAGCGGCGAGACAACAAACTAAACAGCTTTAAGATAAATCGCGCACGATTAAGTACATATGACAATGTGGAGAATTATTCCTAAAAAAATAACCTTGTATGTTGACCTATAACTACTTCATAAAAAGATCTTCAATTGCAGTTTTTACAGAATCAACGTCGAGTCCATATATACTGTAACACCCAAGTTAACGTATTCGTAAATCGTAATGGGCGCCGAAAGAGGTTATAAATATATTTAGTTTTTTTTTCATGAATAGCCCTAATGACACATTTGGACATTAATACTAGCCCCAATAAATTGAAATTCACCAGAAAAGATTTAGTAAAGTATTGTTCTACGTCCCCAGACAACCCAGCGCAAGCGGCAAACCCAGACAACCACTTGCCGCTCGTCTGTCCGTGCTAAGCTAGCACAAATTAAACTATTGGATTGAACGGGATTGGAAAAACAAAGATAGGAAGATTTTCTTTTGAAAGGAGTTGACTATGACGTCGAACTTTATGTACCAATCATGTAATATCATAATAATACGAAGTTTGAAGTTTGCCAAAGAACGCGGCAAAAGTAACATAGACTGAGATTGGACTTCTTCTCCAGGAGTGTCGTTTCTGCATGGAATAGTTTTCCACACAGCGTGAACTGGGGGAAGCGTAAATGCCATCTTCGCGAACGCAGTAAAAAAACAGGCTTTGCAAAGTCTAGTTCGCTCGACCGTGGCCCATGGGGCCGTACTTTCATAACTCGCTCAAGTACATGTATCGGCATAAGAAAACGTAGCGGTCGATTTCACGTCTGTGACTGGTGGGTTTAGCTAGAAAAGCCGTCAGTTATTGGCTGACGAAGTTACATAACTTTTTTGGATACTCTGTACCTACCATTTCGAGGCTGCTGCACCTACCATTCATGTGACCCAGTGAATTCACAAACAACCTGAAAGCTCCCAAGGCGGGTGAACAGGCCTGAGTGCCTACTAATGCTAAATTATCAAGTATCAGGAGTGTTCTGGCAACTTTACACTATGAGCATTTCACTAGGAATGCTAATTGGGTGCTCTGTAGGATACGTGTTAATCATTCTTTTCAGTGCAAGCGGCAATGAAATTCCAATGCTTAACTTAGCTAATTGCTTCCCCCATTTTAAAGTTTTATTCCCCTCATCTTGAAATGATTCTATTTGTGCATTGTAAAATTCTCGCAACTTTGTGCAGACTAATAGAAATTTAAAACTTTGTACAGAATATTTCGAAATCTAAATTTGAGTTACTGAAGAAAATATTTGCGAAAGAACAACGAACAAAATAATATAATTGCGTTCATCAGTTAATTCTTGTGGGACCCACAATACAGATGAGGAGTTCCGGAAGCGATCAGCAAGCATAGTCGGGAATGATTGTTTGATGAGGAAAGGAAAAGAGAATGAATTTGCTATGGAATTCTCGAAGCACGTTCGAGGATTTGCAACCTTTAAAGTGCTTGAATATTTGCAAGCTGATGCATGGATCAGGAAACCAAACAAATCAATAAATTCCATTCAGGCGGATCCGAATCGAAAATTGATAAATGGACTTCAGAAATTCAAATTGATTAGTAATATTTAAAGTTCACTCTTTTATTAGCTTTTTGGACGCAAGTTCTCGTACCTGCAGAATAGTAGCTACGATAGTTCATTTGTGAAAAATATCACCGAAACACGCCGTATACTCAGAAATTATTTGATTAGTTGGTACCATTGCTTTGTGCCGATGTAGTAAAAATTTTAATTACATATCATTGCCCGGCTAAGGAAGCTTAATCTGACTCTTCTATTTATGTTATCTCGACAAGTCAAAAATTGAGAGCAAACAGTCCAAAGAAAAAGCACAAAAATCTAATGGCATGAGCTAATTATATAATTAAGGATGGGTAATCAGCAAATAAAGACTATGGGAATTATTGAGCAGCCTCAATGCACAGCGAATATTGTCATGCCATGCAGTGCTGCAATTGTTCAATGCTCGTGCCCAGTGCCTCACGTGCAATGCACATCTGTTGTCTTACCTTATTTTTATTAGCTAATTAACCTCTAATTGTTTACCGTCGTCACTTGAAATAGTTGCGGAACCAATTTCTGTAGCTTCATGTCTAGCGTTGATTTCAACTTCCTCGATTAACAAATCTGAAATCTCAAACTATTATTTTCCATCATTTGGTCCAAAGCAGTGGATCCCCGCTTGCGGTATACGAGAGTTACGCTGGGCACTCACAGGTACGAGGTCATGAACGATTTTTTAGTTATTTATTCGTTCAGAAAATCTTAAGTTTCTCTTAAATAAGATGCTTGTACCACGATTTTCAACTCACCGTTAAATTTAACATGGTACATTAATGCTATCAAAAATTAAATTGAACAATGTAAATAATGCCCCAAAGTTTATGATGTGTCTAATGTCTAGATCTACAAATTACGTTGACTTCATTATGCTGAAGTGTCGCTTTCATCCCTAATAAAAAATTCAACATGCTGAATGATTTTCAAGTTAAACCAGAATTAGATTTTAGGACCGAGAATTACCAAAGCAATCTCTGAGAACACCAAGTAAACACGCCAGCAATTCCGGGACTAATTAAGTTAATCAGGGCGGGAGGTGCGCATGTCGGGGAGGTTGTCAACAGCCATTACCCGGCGGCTAACAGATGCTCTCCTCATGCTGCTGCCACCTGGAGCATCGGTACAGACGCGACGTGAACTAAAGTTTGTATCATTTGTTCCGACTGATTTTGATCTTTTTGCTTCTTTGATTGTGGAAAATAATGAGAACTGCCAACTCTTTTAGCCTAGCAGAGATGGGGCAAATAGAACAGAAAAAAATAATAGTACCTGTGTCTCATTGCGTTTGACGTAAGATTGTCAAGAAAATATCATGGTTCCGCAGCAAAGAATTAATACTGAATGCAGACGTTTGCTTTACTTACAACTTTTTGGTGATTGACATCTGAAAGCATTATTCTTCAATTAACGTATAAACCCTGGCCAATTTTTCTTTTGCGTGTTTTTATAGAGTGGAGACAAATTTTATTTCAAAAAGTCTTTTAGAAATGACAGAGATCCACCAGTTTCAATGATCAACAAATAATCAAATGACGAAAAGGTTATGTTCCTTTTAACGTATTAACGCTGTACGATATTTTAAAAAAGTGCGTTACCAAAGAAATAGCATTTTAGTCAATTTTTGCCTAAACAAAGAATTTATCTTATCTACTACAATATAATGGAAATTCAATTGGACATCACAGGACAATTAAATCACATGAAGATCAATCGTATATAACTGAATGGCCAGGTTTATCTGACGTGCTCGCCGCGCAATAATGAACTTACCTTGGCCTGCTGCAGGAGGGACACTCGCACCTGCAGCTCTCCTGAGCCCCTGCACTCCTCAGGCACCTGCAACAAAAGTAATGAATTCTTCTTGCGGGCATTATTGATGCTGCTATTTGTCTAAAGCATCATTAATGTTATTGTGTTCCTGCATTAAACAATACGATTCAGGACCAAGAGGCTTAAGTTTGCTCTATGTATCGAAAACTATTCGGAAATAATCGCTAATATTTATTCACATGTGGACACGCAAATTCGGTGAACGACCATCAGGTCGACCATTGTGGTCACTAGAACAACGACTATCAGGACGACCATTGTGGTCACTTGATCACCGCTCATCAAGTCGACCATTATTGGCACTTGATCAACGACCATCAGGTCGACCATAAATTATGGTCCTCTGATCAACGACCGTCAGGTTTACCATTATGGGCCTCTTATCAACAACCAGCAGGACGACCATATGATGACATTAGGACTTCAGTGAACGATCACGCTGATGCGCCGCCTTCGTCGTCCTCACTCTCCAAGTCGTCGATAAGCAGGTCGCCCCGTCCTCGGCTCCTAGATGTAACGTTGGACGTGTTTTGTCTATCTGCAATCCTTTAGGCCAGCTTATGGAAGATGCTGTTGCTTGTCTATGTCCCTTGCTGAGGGTAGTTTCTATAACTGGACGATTTGGGATCTTTTTAAGAAACTTGTCCAGTCGCGACTTGACTGTCGCAAGGGTGAACTCTCCTCCTCTCAGCACCTTTGGGAAGGCATTAAGCAATCTCGGTCTTGCTATGAACAGTGATCCCTCACGACCAGTCTGTACTCTGGCCGCGGATCGGTTATTAAATGGGGGAATCCTGCACCTGCACTGTCTCCCCTTCCTGTCGTTATAACATGTCACCATTTTGGAGGTCTCACTTACGAAGTTGGGAGCCAGTCCGGTTATCATCTTCCAAGTGTACAATATGGTATCTTTTTCTCTTCTCCTCTCCATTGAGTGCAGTACCAAGTGGATCGCTTCGACGACCCATCGGCTCGTCAGCTGAACGACCTACTGGCCACCATTGGCATGGTTTGTTACGTGACCTTGCTGACGCACGACATGGGCAGACTGCTGGACGTTGTCATCACGCGTGCTGACTTTCAAAGTCTGTCAGTCGACATCATCAAGATCGCAATATCCGACCGTCGACTACTTCAGTGTATGGTGCCTTGTGTGGGCCTGGTGCCAGCGTAATAACCGTAGCCTGGCGTGAGTGAGGAGGAATTTCATGCGGTTTTTTAAAATAAAATTTCTGCTGAGCGGGCGTCGTCAGCCGATGCTCCACCGGCAACATGCGTGCCGTGCCCTTTCGACTGCGGGTTCCAAGAATTTAATTGCTTCAAAGCTAAAGATGTCATCGCTGCAGTGCACGCGCTGCCTAACATGCAGAGTACAGGGGTTCCGCTTCCGACGTCGTTACGTAGTTTTTGTGTCGCTGGTATTATAGGTTCGTTTCTGGTATTTTTATAAAGGGAAAAATGGTATAATAAACCAAAGCTGTAGGGTCGACCGGTTGCAACCAGAAATCTGACAGGTGGCTATAACTTCTAAGATAATGATTATCTTAAAAAACGGTAAAACACGTCTAAGATAATTTTCGATTATCTTTAATTGGTGAGAGTCCTCAAGGTTAGGTCCAGTCAGGTAAAGTTTTTTTTATCTTTTTTAAAGATAATGGAACCAGACCTAACCTAACCTAACCTTGAGGTCACTGTAAGATTATCTTTAAAATTCTAGGTTTCTATCTTTAAAATTGTGGATTATCTTAAAATAGGGTCGTTTTTCTTCCGGGGAAAAGATACCAAATAGGTTCGTTTTTAGGTTCGTTTTCTAGGGACCTGTCGGGTTCTTAGGGTCGAAAGCTGTCAAACCTGTCAGATTTTAGGTTCGAAAAGTTAGTTTCCGGGGAAAAAAAAACACTATAGGGTCGAAAGCTGTCGAAAGCTGTCAGAAAGCTGTCAGGGTCGCGTTCTCGGGAAAATATACCAGAACAGTACATAAGGGGAATGTCGTAACCTTAGCACCTTCTTTGGTCGAACTTTTCAAACGCTGCTTCATTGACGGTGTTGTTCCGATGAACTTCAAATCAGCTTGCATAAGCAGCTATTGAATATACCAGACCTTGACGCCAGACTCGGAGATGGGTCGATATGATCCCAAATCATATCGACCCATCTCCGGCCTATCGATTTTATCGAAACTCCTGGAACGCGTTGTGGCCCGACAGATGAACAAGCATCTTCAGCAGTCCAGTCTCAACACTCGCCTCCAGTCTGCATACCGTCATCTCCACTCGACGGAAACCGCTGGGCTGAAGGTGCTTTCAGATTTTCTGCGAGCAGTAGACCGCGGCGACACTGCTATGGCATTACTATTACTATGGTAAGGCCACGCACTACCATTACTATGGTGGTGCCACACTCTATGGACTTCCGACCATGGCACTTAATAAACTGCAATCCCTAATGAACGCTGTTGCGCGACTCGTGTGCATTAAGTGAAAATTCGGCAACGTGACTTTGATATCGCGCCATCTCCATTGTCTGCGCTTGCTGCAGCACGCTGTTCAAGGTCGCTGTTGTGACGTTCCGATGCATTCACGGTCTGGCGCCTCCTTATCTCACGAAATGTCTGCATCGTGTTTCGGATCGGCTTTCTAGTAGAAGATGATTACGTTCGTCATCAACAGCGGATCTCGTCGTTCCACCTACACGTCTATCTATCATCGGCTATGGGGGGACGCCTGTCGGAGACCACCACTGCCGTGCTTCGAATGGACTATCATGATTCCTTCCCTGAAGAACGTAGCCTACAACACACCTTGACTGTACCATTATCAGCCGCACGCCACCAGACAGATCACATCCATTGAATTAGATCAATCAGCCCACAGGAAAATAAGCCTGGCATCGTATGGCCCAGCGTCGTCTGCCAACGCGCGAAAAAATTTCACACCACCCGGATGGAGCGCGTCGGAGCCGTCCGTATCTGTCCCGTGTGTCGAATCAGCCCACGGTCGAACGGCCACGCGTCGTACGACGATAAATTTTGGAACAGAACTATGCTATCTGGAACCTAACCCCAGATGCAGTGAGCTAAAAGTTACGTAATTTAGCGAAGCTGAGGAAGTCACTCGCTGGCGGACGATAGAGTTTGGAACAGAACGGTGCTTTCTGAAACCTAGCCCCGGATGTTGAGCTAAAAATGACGGTCTGGTGGTGCACGGCAGGATGCATGCAGTTCCACTGGCGACCTGGGCTGGTTGGTCGCAGTCCGTTGTCCGCAAGTTACAGTTCGAGCTAAAATCGGGGTATGAAGTGATGATTCGATGCAACGTTCAGTGGTGCATAACCATTACTCTCTTGGCTATTCGCTTCAGAATGTGGTGGCGTAAAGCTCCTAATATTTAAAGCAAGATGATGTCACGGGCTGGTTACCGGCGGATGGCTTAATCCGCGGCTGATTGGTGGTCATCCGGAAATATGCTAGGCGTTCCTTTCAAGGCTGATTGGTGCACAAATTTTGTGGTGCACGGCTGCGTACCCATCGGCGGGACGCCTGTCGGAGACCACCACTGATCGGCGACAGAGCGTTCCCGGTCGTCATCGCCAAAAGCCAAAACCTGGAACACTCTGCCGGCTTCCGTAACATCGGCTCCTTCGTTGCAGGTGTTTCGTCGCCGCCTAAAGACGGTACTATTTCGTGGAGCCCATGAATCAAGTGCTTAGTCATTTTTATCCGTTCTCATCCTCTCTCGTGTCTATATATTTTTCGCTTGCGTTATTAACTTATGTGAAACTTGCTCTCGTAATTCGTTTGAACCACACTCCACAATAACTGCTTCGTAGAATAATAACATATAAAAAACGTTTGATTCACGTGCGTAACTGGCGCCGACACGTGACTTTTACTGAACGAGGTCGATCATCATCGTGCCAAGTGCGAATAACAAATAATTAAAACAAGGCCGTGATTTACCGAATACTTTACAGCATTTTTTCTCTGGTGCACCACTTGGAAATCCTGGCTTTGTTCCAATTGGAAGCCTGATAGGCACACCAGCACGGAGCAAAACCAATTACATGCAACGCCTGCTAATTTTCTGCTCTCTGGACCTTCATTAAGAGTCGCGACGAACGCTAATTCGTTGCTGAAAAGAAGAACGGAACTGATGTGCACACAAAATTTTGAGTCAACTATTTAATTACAATGGAAAAAAGGGCCTAAAACCAATGGATCGAAGATATATAAATAAGCGCCATAAAAGTATTCTACGTATACACGATTTTATTCTCCGAGATTTGAGAATATTGAAAAAAGTGACAGAGAGAAAAATTTATATCACTTGAGATTTTTGTGTCGTGATATCCCCTTACATCAAAAAAGCTTCCATAAATGGGAGCACAACTTTACGCCTCATGAGGGACCTGGAGAGAAGATATGCCTCTCGTAATATCTACTTGGTGAGATGTGATAAGAACAATTCCCACGGGAAGCATAAGTGCAGGGTAAGGCTCAGTTCACACCGTACTGCCGGACACGGGCCAGGCATATGCTAGTCACGCTACGTACCCGGCAAGGTGCCTTAATATGTGCAGTTCAGTCACGAGTCGTCCTCACTTCAGTTCCTTTCGTATCACGTGTCATGCCAGTCACGCAGCGTTGCAAACTGGCAAATTTCCATACCAGATTTTACAAATCTGGTGTGTTGAGAAGGTATCTGGTATGGATGATTTTGATCCAGTATATATGTTAAAATCTTATGTGTTGGGCTGGCAATTTGAAATATCCGGGAAAAAAATTGTTTGCAACGCTGCTGTCGCGTCCCGGTCAAAATATCTTTTGCATTGAACATGGCGGGACATTATCTGGCATGGCAGGTGCCTTGCACGTCTGGTGTGAACGTTTCTATAGAAATGCATTAAAGAATATTGCACTGGACCGATACTGGCACTTGCCCGGCATTATGGTGTGAAGCAAGCCTTCGTGGCACGATAGAATAAAAGAAGTGCGTCAGGAGGAACAAACCTTAACGCCTTTGGACGCGCCCAGTATGACGGTGAGCCTCTCCAAGTTGTCGTTATAGCAGAGCGTGACCTCGAGCTGGCCGAGCTCCCTGGGGCTGCCGATGGTCTCGCGTGTGAGGTCCTTGTAGAACACCTCACGTCCGTCCAGCGGTGAACTCTCCGCCCCCCGGTCCTAGAGTGCAGAGGCTGTACTTCTAGAACTCGCTGTACTTCTAGAAGTTACATGCTGCGGTCTAAGTACACGCGGTGGAAAAGTAATCGTGGCGGCTAAAGAACACGAAGCGGCCCAAGTACTCGTAGCGGCCTAAATACACGTAGTGGCCTACTGTATTTGCATTGAGTACGCGCAGCGGCCTGACCACATGTAGCGGGCGATTTCTCGTCTCTCGTTGGGTTCTTTACTTTGATATCAAAATTAAAGCCAAACTGAATTTATCAGAAGTTATTCGATGCGGCTCACAAATAATAAGACTTCTCGAGCGCATATCACTCTCAATTAATGATAAAATATTCCTCATGTCTGTAGTGCAGCTCAAATGAATTAATTTAATAGTTTAATTGTGCAAGAGACGAATCATTTTGACAAATCATGCTTGTCTGAACTATCAACAAGAACACTGCTGAAACAAAGTAATCATTTAATGGGCAACCTTTCTCTCCGGCTCACTAAATCGCACTGGTTATTCCCCTCATTCAGGTTAAAAACAAGAATAAAATACTGCAAACGAAATCTGGTTGAAAATTTCCGCATCAAAGAATTTATCCAATGTAGCAATTGTAAATATCAATGGACATCACAAAGCGACGGAGAGAAAAGATGCAAATTTTGATTTGAATTTCTACTTCAGAAAATAGATCGAAGGTCGTGGCAATCTCTAACGAAGTGAACATGACGGTTAGGAACATCTCTTGAATTTGATAATCTCAGCCAATACGATTGCACAGACAGCAACAGCGAGTCTTGTTCACGAATATACTCAAATTAAATATAATTTATCTCTTGGAAATACATTTGAATAATGAAGTTATTTATTCCTTTCATTAATGCCACCATTAAATAGTATAGGTGGATAGAGGTCTCAATAAATGAAAAGATAATTTGTTTCGGCTCAGCAAGGTGGCCGATTTCGGTGTGGGGAGGCCAAAGACGGAACTCGTAGGATAGAAAAATTTATGGAGGTAGGAATTTAATGAGCCGATTAACGAAAATAACGAGGGTATAAGACATTTTTCATCAGCGAAGGTTCATTTCATCTCTCAACGCATGTGTTTAAAAATTCTATTGCATAGAAACTTGTTTTTCAAGGAAACGAGACCCCAGGCGTAAGGTAGAAATTTTTCAGATGCTGCAATTAGGTCGCAGTACAATGGATGGTCTTTAATTTAATTAATATTGCTTAACGTGTGGCAAAAATATCTGAGTGATCTATTCACAATTAATTAGATGAAGGTGAGTGCAAAAAAAAATAAAAAAAACTGTTAAGCAAGGCGGCTAGTTTGTGATAATCTTTTTCAATTTTTTCAACTTCAAACTGTACATAAAATTTTGATGCATATATTTAGAAATTTTGATTATGCTCCCAACCATTGCATAATGTAGATACCATTAAAGAAACAAATGATTCGCATATTTTCGCCCGCGATTATTGCGAACGGGGCAAGTTCCAAAATTTTAATCTAGAAACGCCAAAACTAGAATCATGATATGCAGTGAATTAGAAATGATGTAGTTTTTTGTTATCACGCCACAGTATTGATATATTAGAACATTGTGGCAGCTGGATTTAATGATGTGGATAAATTTCAAATATACTTGAAAATAACCTGGTGCGTCAATGCAATACCCAATATTACTCGTATCCTAGTCACTATTCATAATGGAAAGGATTCTGTATAAGGATCATTTGGAAGTGAACTAAATAATTCAGGAGGTCTGGCGATTAACCAAGCATTAAATTCGTGCGAATTTCCCACCGATGAATAGTATTGATTCCTAAGCTCTTACTTTCGGTAAATGATCAATGTAAAATATGGTCATTTTCTTCAGTAATGCCATATAATATCTCGTGGCCAGGCCGCCATTGCCTCAATTGATCAATAATGAGGCAACGTATCAATGACTGGAGAACAAAGAAATATGGAGGGAAAGCTTCTTCTATAGCGAATAATTATCCATGAATATTGAATTTTGCTGATATTTTTGCTTATAAATATTTCTGGTAATTCGAACAAATAAAACATGAATTGAGAAGCATTAACGAGATGCCCTTGTTTCGGGTTAATTGAATCTTGTCAGAGAAAGGCGTCATGAAGTGTTCAGTATTGGCACATCCACAAGTGCCCTCGATGCTGCGTTGTAACGATACCCTGTCTCGGTTCAAATCGGTGACTGTTGATCGCAATTAAAATGGCTCATCCAACGTCAATTATTCAATTGGTTGTTTTAAAGGCAACTATAAATAAGACAGCAAGTAAAGTGAGTTTAAATGCCTTAAAAAATGTAAGACGGGCAGGAGGTTCGCTCCTGCCTGTAGGTGTGTTGTAAATGTGCTTTTCAGCACATATAGAGTAAGTATTTACTAACACATAAATCAGATCATTAAATTTCAGCAACTGGCCTACAATTTCAGTTCATCTAGCAATTTTTAAGATTGGTCCAAGTTTTGCTTCAGAAATCAGAAAATAAGAAACAGCATTTATTGAAATTTGGTGTAATTACTTGCTTCCGTTCTGCCAATCATCTCAATCAGTCCACTCAGCGCGAGCTCTGGCGCTGCAGCCTTTGTTGTTTGGTGCAAACATTATGCAATATATTTGATGAAAGTCATTGGTTTTCGGACTAATAAAATATATAGGATTTTCTGCTTGTTGCAAAATATGACAGCCATAAAGTTACTCCAGAAAAACTCTAAAATTTATTGCCAGCTTAATTCAAGTTTGACACAAGTTGGTACTTACACGTGCGTCTATACGTGATTTACTAGCAACCTCGAGGAGTATATTGAGATTCATCAGTTTCAACCTTCACTACAAATTCATAAATTGCCCATTTAAATGCATTTGCTCTTGTTCAGCACAAGTTGTTTGCACCGACAGAAGCAAATACGAGCACGCCCTCGGATTCAATTTATCTCAAATTCCGGGGATTGGCTTTTTTCGCGCATTTTGCTGTTTCTTTCCCCAAACCTGAGCTTCTGGAGCCAAACGGGCCTATCTTGAAAACTTCAGACTGAAGAAGGTGGAAATAAACCTGCTATATGGCCATGAATAATTAAAAATCAAAGAAGGGAAAGCTGAAAAACCACCAAGAAGTCAGATGTTGCTAGCTGACCTTAAAGAGATGAATGGCGTGGCCGATGATGTTGTGCTTGCGGTCGCGGTCAACATCGTAGACGGTGAGCTTGAGGGCGCGTTCCGTCAACTCCTTCGCCCCCACCTGCGGCAGAACGGGTCTTCATTAGGTGCGGCAGAACGGCTCTTCATTAGGTGCGGTAGTACGGCTCTTTATTAGTATCGGTAGTACGGCTCGTCATTAGGTGCGGTAGTACGGCTCTTCATTAGGTGTTTTACGCGGCTCGGAGGGTTGGAAAATTTAGAGAGGAAGGTCAATGTGGCGGTGTCTAATGAAATTGGTTTGCCCGCTGGGACTAAATAGGGCAATTACAGGGAAGGTTCAAAATTTAGAAATTTGGTCAGTTTGTCTTTAAAACGCGTGAAAGGCACATGCAAACAGGCGGTAAAATTTTTATTTTAACGGCTAGATTGAAGAAGAAAATGATGGCAGAGAGTAACCATGATAAGGAAATATATATACTCTATACAATAGAGACATTGCCTTTTATAGTGAAAGTAGAGTTAAATGAAATGCATGAATTGAGCCGATGGAATTATATAATTCAAGGGTTAAAATTTTCAAATACATATATGAAAAGACACAATTTTGTACCTCAGAGTTTTGAGGGGACACAAATTTTAGATATCAAGATTAACGACTGACAGTCTGAGAAAATAGTTCAAAGCTCAAGCGAGGGGACTCTAGAGGGTGCGTGACATTGCACTGCCCAAACACGGGCGGTATTTGTTGCTTGTCCGTGTTTACTAAACGCACACTTACCTTGCGTTGGATTTCAATTGGACAAACACATAAATTAAGTTGGCAACTATTCAAGGATAATTAATTAAGTGGGCAACTATTGAAGGATAATTAATTACGTGAGCAACTATTCAAGAATGTTTAATCAAGTGGGTAACTACTCTAATTAATTAATTAAGTGCATGGTCAACTATTTAAAAATAATTAATTAAGTAAGCAACTATAATATTCAGGGATAATTAATTAAGTGGGCAACTAATCAAAGATTCCAGGAATAAGTCTAGCAACAGTTGTGTGGATATGACAAATTTACCTATAGATTATACATGCAAACAGGGCAACAGAAACACTGACAATCACACTCAATAGTTTTATAACGGTTTGTGGAATTGGGTTCTACGACAAGGCCGGCGTGAACTATCACTACGTAGATTCGAAGAAAATTAATTCACTAACAGCAATTCCAATGTTACGTCGAAAATTGGCACCAACTTCATTAAAGACAAATCATTAATTTTCAGTGCATAGTTGCATTAATGCACTATAAAAGAACCAATAATTACTTGTATAAAAATTATTGTGAGCAAATCAAATAAAACAAAATTCCGTTGCATAGCTGTAACGTACTATTAAACAAAGACCGGCAAAGCTGGAAGCGCTGATTCCCCCAACATGCAAATCGAGTCATCGGTTACAGGAACTTAACAAGAAAGAATTATTGATGGCAAGTTTAGAGCCGATATCTTAGAGGAAGCTTTAATGAAGTTGGTTCTCAGCCCGGCCTTGCAATTCAGTCCAGTTCATGAGCGTTAATTACGTTCAAGTTGCGAGTAGAAATTTATTCTTACTTAGTGAAGATGCGGCTAATATGTGAGTCTCCGGTAAATTAGAAATCATGACATTATTTTCAAACATATTTTTGTATATTGTTTTATATTTTAAAAAACATATATCATATTTATATTTCATAAATTGAATATCCGTGCTTGTCGTCCAGTAGATATTAGATATGATATTGGTAGAACTGTACAACAGAACTGACAGCTCTACCGTACAGTTGGAACAGCAGTCGTGAAGCTGCAGGACGATATCCAATTAATCAAATCCAGTGTCCAAGAATCGCTAGGGCAACGATTTAGCTTAGCTTTCTTGTGCGGTACAACCTGACAAATAAGATAACCACCTGAATTTTCGCGTCGCGCTTAAGAGAGATTGTCTTTGCAGTAATTTTTGAATATAATGAACAATGTAAGAAGAGTTAATGAAAAAATACTCTAAAGATTAATTTGGAATTTAAAAGTCAACTAAGGAGCCTTATTTTAAATATATATAGATAGCCTTCAGAAATTTACAAGAAAAAATGCTGAACGTGATCGTACGCATGAAACTAAAGTACATTCAATGTGTATTGATAATAAAAGGAAAAAAGTAAAGAAGATAGTTAAGTATTAGAAATTCAAACCAAAATTGCAAACTTGCATAGAGATTCTCGTCGAATGCAGAACTGTCAAATGGACTCCTTTGACAAATCAATGCAAAATTTGCATTTGAAGCAGGGAGCTCGAATACCATTACGTACCTTCCTCTTGCTTCTAAAATAAAGTCCTATAAAATGCAGGAGTTCATGAATTAGACAAAATTTATATAAAAGTTTAGAAATAGATTTTTGCCGTTGGTATTCAAAGCAATTTCAATCTCAATTATTTGTCTTCTCTTTTACAAAAATAATAATATAAAATTACGAGAATCTAAATTGAATGATTTATACTTGTCATGGACGACTGCCGGCATAACATTTAAATTGTTGCCCGGTATGATTCCAATGTGAGTCTGAAGTTTGAATTCAATTTACAGCTCCGCTAAAGAATATCGCACCATCAGCAAACACCCACGCGGGTTTTCTAGTCTTTGAACAGAATTTGTTTAAACGGCTTGTTTCAATAGCGAAATTTCACAGAATTTCAATTATGACTTAGAGTCAAAAACATATCAACAACATGGAGAACGTTTTTTTCGCGAATGGAAGGCCATTTAATAAGCAGTGAGTGGTTCGCTCATTTGAATATCTGAGAGCTAAGCAATTTTTGAGCAGCCTTCATTGGGAGTTTGTTAACACCTCAACAATGAGCTTCTCAAGCAGAAATGAAATTTCAGCTAAATTTCACAGGATGTTGCAGGAGTAAACACAGCAGCAGCTGAAAAGTGACCCGTGGGAGTGAAAATGAATTCTCATAAAATTCGAACTTATATTTTGATGAACTTGCATTCTCTTGCTGCATATATAAAGCAACGAATGGATTTCAATTGGACAACTTAAGTATTTTTTTTGTGAGCTTTTGCTTTCACGCGATGATTGAGGTTTCCCTCTCAAATTTTTGTGCAGAATTTGAAGCATTCGGCACACTAATTAAGCTCCCAATTGTTAATTGCTTGGATTTATTAGTGTTTAGCTTATGTACTTGTCCGCATTTCTGAAACAGATTACGAATGAGTAATTTTGTTTCGGCCAATTAAACAGCGAGCGGGAATTATTAAGCACGTTATCATCATAATAAACAAAGTTTGGCAAGCCTGGCAGCAATCTCCTGCAAAATTTGTCACTTTTATTTCCGTTCAAATTGTGCCGGGAGAGTTTAATATCAATCGTAATGTGCTGGGGGACAAGAAACTAACATTTGTTAGTTACTGCGTAATTTTTCAATTTTTTAGTAGCGTTATGGAAAAATTTTTGAATGAAAAGCCAGGTTTTGTGTTTGTAAAGCATCGACAATAAGCGCCAGTTTTATTTGTACCTGATACTGGAAAAAAATTATATCGAAAAAATTGAGTGGACGCTGTCAGTCAAGTGAAGCCCCGGACATCCTGCCATATATTCATATTTTTTAGCCGAGGAGGAGGGGAACCATATGATTTTGAAATAATCGAATTAAAAAAAATATTGGTTTCCTGGTATCCGTCATATCGGTTGGCAATTTTTGAACGTTTTCAGTTCTGGCTAAACCGGTTGCATTCGACGCCGCTTTATATATATACTTGCTTATGTCGCTTTAACATACGCGTCGGAAACTGACAACACAAACTGGCATCGCAACTACGACTGTTTGTTTGCTATCAATCATATCAAGTTATGCGTACATAAACTCTAATGTCTGAAGCAATTTATTAAAAAATGATTCGATTTGATGAAGCACTCAGAATTGAAGACTTAAGACACCAATAACGGTTTTGTGTTGTATTTAATCTTCACGCCGTGAGCCTATTATTATGGCTAACACTTCGTACGGTATGGCCGCGAAATACCCACCATGAAGGCGAATGTGTGGTCGTATCTCGGGTTGCATGTGTTTTGTTTCCGCCGCGTCTGCAGGCATCGCCGCTCGTCGGGCATCAGCACAAGTCTGTAAATAAACACAAATTTCATTAGTTGACTAAAAGAATCGCGAAGCTTAATTTATCTTTACGTAACTTCGCAGGCAATTCAATGTTTAGGGATATTGCCTGCAAATAATCAATCATGAACCAAGGTTGCGCTCATTGTAACTGGGTACAATTGTATATAATAAATGAGAATACATTGAAAATTAAATATTTGTTACCGTTTCTGAACACTGAACACACGTTCAGTGTGTTCGCGCGAGACGCGAAACGATTGCTATGTCTCACGAGACGGAGAGATTATTCGGCGAAGAAACTATTGCTGAAAAAACTTCTGTTTTATCTTCGAACCCAGCAAACACGTACGAAATCTAGATATTAAATTTATATACGTGAATTAAAATAAGAAGTTTTCACCCATATATCTGATCCTAAATGTGTGCAAAGCCAGCTCATCTCACAGAAGTTAAATGGCTTGACTGATTTTAGCGTAAATAAATATTTCCGGCATCACTAGATTTTTTCGAAGGCCTTGCAAGCTCCAAGTATTTTATACACAGTAATTGAAGAAAGATTATTTGCCTATAATTATTCAAGTCCCTTCAAATGACTGTATTGCGACAGCAGGGGCTCACAACAACGATATTTTGCAAGAGCTCCATTTAATCCTTAAATCCTCATCTAGTATATTTAAAATATAATTATGTTATATAATTTATACTGGAAACGCTGAATATAATTTACTGGAAACGCTGAAAAAGTAGAGGACATTCGCTTAAATTTCCTCGTGTAAATCTAATTTTTACGATATACAACGTTAAATGATTTCATATCTCTGTAAGAACCTGCAAATGCTAGTAGACCCACAAACAGCGCTGAAAAGTATTATTGATGGTAGGTGGACATGAAATGTTATTTGTTGGCGATTTGATTTTGATTACCTTCGCGGTGATGACTTTAGAGTGTGGCAACAGAGAATCCATAAACGATTCGTCAATACGGCTCTGCATTGAACTTTGCGATATCAGTGACAGCATGGAGGCCGATTTGGTGGGTCTAAAGGCCCAGCTTAGAATAGTTTATAATTGATATTAAATAACTTAAATAAATTTAAATTATTGCCGTTTACTTTAACCTTTATGGAAGCTTTTCCTCCATTAAGGCTTTTTCTCCATTTTCATGTGTTGCTCGAGATTATCACAATTCACAGGAAGTGTTTTTTTCTTTCGCATAATCTTCATTCGCTTACTTTCTCTCTTTCACAGCAAAATCAACAATTTTCAGGATAAAAGTGCAGAGCTTTCAATTTCGCTGTGAGGCGTTTTAGAAGCAGAGAGACTTGTAAAGCAGAACATAACGTACACGCATGAGTTGTTTACGAGTATTAATTGTTCATATCGATCAACGTTTTTCAATAGTTTTGAGAAATGTTTTAAATCAGTTTCGTATAAATAAGGTTTATTATTCGAGTAAAGAGTCTCTAATTGAATTATGCAATGAATCAAAGAAAACCGACATGACGCAAAGAAAGGTCCTACTTATAATGAGAATTGTTTATAAATTGAAGCCCTCTTGATGGGAAATCCAGTCAGTGAAGAATGTAATGCTGAGGAGACTCTTCACCGAACATTGTTTCAGAAGCTGCAAATCATCAGACAGGAATTGATTTTGTTGCAAATGAATAAATCGATAGTGCTAACCTGAAATTTCGGTAAAATTCGGTAATAAAAGCCGGTTATATTCTGTTAATTGATGAAGATGCTTGGAACGGTCGTTGAGTGCCGCTATGGAAATAATTGATCAAAATTTAAGAGAGTATTTGAAGGTAAACTGCAGGGAACGTTTCGAGAACATTTTTGCAGCAACTGTCTGTAGGAGCCGTCAACGACAGCAATACTTAGGAGGCAAGTCACTGGAGGCCTTTTCTTTAATTAAAGTGTCATTAATAAGAAACTGTTAAGAAACTTTAATGTGGATAATGACATCAATAAGGAACTATGTGCCTGGGGGCATGGAGGCCACACCAGAAGCGCACAGCGTGAACAACATAACCAAGTAAATCCTGCTGCTAAAAATAAATGTCATAAACCTGTTTAGTAACCGTCTATCGAGCGCCGATATATTAATTTCGGTAGTCGATCAAAGACCAATATAACGCATGATTAATTTTTGTATGTGTCATAGATGGCTCTTTATTTGTGTTATTAATTATGATATATTAAAGAACTACAGGTTTTTGCTCACCGAGAAAGAGTCGACAAACCATTAATAGAAAAATTCTGGTATGAACGTATTTTTCTCCGATAACAGTTCTACGATTCGCGTTATTAGAGAAAATGTACCCGTGTTTATAACCTAGAAAATGAGAGTTTATAAATCGAGGAATTAGTTACAAATAGTGGCAGAAAAACACCAGCTCCTTCAGATATTATTTTGCGGTTTAGGGCGCTTAGGGCGTAATTGTGTCAGGCGTTATGGGCTAAAATATTAATTAGTGTAGGATTATATAAAAAAGGACATATGGCAGCGATGTTAATGTTGGACGAGATAAAGCTATTTCTGAGGGCTGGCACATTAGTCGTTTGAGAACTTGATATGAACTGGGAGCTATTAGGGAAATGAACAGAATGATAATGAACATAAATTTGATGTTAAAAACTCAGACAATCTAGTTAGTCATGATTTAAAAGTATGTTTAATGCTTATGTATATTAATGGAAGGTCAAGGTTACTTCCCATGTAAAAGAACTAAAAGATTAGTGAAGTAAAAGTACACTTTTTTACTAAAAAATAAAATGTTCGTTGCGTCAAACATTATATATATTATATAGTCATCCCTATTGCCGGCATTGGTAGGGCTTCTGTGCAAGCATCCGGGGAGTCTAGAACGTCATTTTATTCTTTCCGGAAGATAAACTAAGTCACGAAACAACTCAAATTTCCGAATATTAGTGATCGTATTTATGGAGGTTACAGTGTTAATTAAATATGTTGGGGAATTTAATTTAATTCCAGGCTATCATCAGCTTCCCGTCTACAAAAATGGCTGCAGACGCACTGCTACCAGCACCTTTCATGACTATTAATAACTGAAAATGTTTCGGCCTTGTACTGTAGATTCCCAGAGTGCATCTTTAGATAAATGTTCGGATTTTAGGAAGTGAATGTCAGATGAGCATATTTGAAATATGCATAATTTATGACTAACGAATAAATGATAAAAATGAATGTTGCACCTATAAACTATCTTAGATTATATCGATCCAGCAATTGCATAAAATTTAATACAGATACGCCTGTTGCAACAGAAAAGCGAGTGCAGAGGATCGATTATTTATTATTCATACAAAACTTGTACGGAGAAGTAAAAGCGTCATCCCACGTTTGAACTTGAGTTGACAGCCATTAGCTCAGGCACACAAGCTTTTAGACCATTTTTATTTGCCGTTCCATTTATTTTATTCAGGGAGCAGAAACATTTTATATTTTCGTATAACGCTGCAAAGAAAACTCTTGCAAACTCTGAAAGAGCGCGTAGGAGTTGGAGTTTAAGAAGACGCAATGAAGTAGCAGACACCTTGTCAAGTATTGACAGATCTGTTGAGAAGAATTAAATGGGATAGTGTCGAATTGCTTGCCTCCGCATTTATGGGTGAACTCTTAGGTGGAAAAAGTTGGAAATTCAATGTTTGAGGAAACTCGTTTACTTGAAAGCTGTTGATGAACTTCTGTAGTTGTACCAGGTATCGCGTTGGATCTGGTAGTAATGCTTATAAATTTTATTGTTCAGAAACCAAGTTATTTGAATGCCGATAGAAAGATGAATATCAAAAAATGAATTAAGGTAATACGACAAAAAAAAGGAAATATAGTTTGAAGAAATTATATCAGTAGTCTGTTGAGTGCCAAATATAGAGGAATGTAATGTCCATCATTTGGTCAAATGGCCATCTTTATAAAAAATAACCTGGACTTTCATTGCCTAATTTTTTTTATATGCAGCGAACTCCTGGGACTCATGTGCGCCCTGTCGTTAATTTTACGAAGCATAAATTATTCATTGTACAAACTTTAAATGAAAATTCATTTAAATGAGGAGCGTTAATATTACCATTCGCTGAATAGGTAATTATTCCTTGTAACTTGGTGAAGAACTTGCATAGAAATGAGCCTCGGGAAAACATCCAATGGGGGAACTCCACTGAAAATCTTCCAACTTGAGCAATAATGTGTGCTCGAACGAGTCTCAATTTTCAAAAAAGCTTTGGTAAGCAAAGCAATGCGTACCAAAGTTGCGCAGCCTTCATGCTGCATTAACGCGCGCTGTACAGGGACCATACTTTCAAAACTCTCTAAGTGAACGTAAGTACTTACGCTCTATTTTCTTGTCTATGATTGGTGGATTTTGCTTGAAAGGCCGTCAATGATTGGCTAATGAACTTACGATCTCTTAACTTTTTTTGAAGCGGTAGCAGCCGTCTTGATCGAGGAGTGCCCGCGGTCTGCCTCAGTGTGCACGGCTGTGGCGACGTCTCTTCATTAGCCAGATAGAAAAGTCCAGCTTGGTGCAATTTTGAAAATTTATTGCCCTGGATATTAGCCATTATGTTAATGAGAGCAATGGTGAAATTAAGAATCAATTCAACACGCAAGCGTTAACTTAGATCCTGAAAATCCTGATAATGTCAGTACAATCAAACCCGAATGATTTTCATCAAACCGAGCGATTTTCATTAAACGTTTAGTGTTTGGACTGCAGATTTATGATAATTCAGCTGCTGATTTTAGAGAATGATTTTAAATGATTTAGAGAATGATATAAGGATTTAGAAAAGATTTATGAGAATGCAACAGGTGATTTACGTGGCGCCAGGGCTAATCATGAATCAAAGCGCATAATTCATCAATTGCCAGCGACGGGCAGAAGCCTGCTGGAGAGGTTTGCACTTTGAACCTCAATCGCAAATATTTGCTCCATTTTTTTCACGAAGCCTACAATTAAAATTTATTAAAAAATGCAAATATCCTGAAATGAATATATGAATGACTTCACCGACCATCGATTGGTTTGTAAAACAGAACCAGTTGCTGAATAATGGGCTACACGTTGTAATACATCTTATGAAGAGTAAGAGTGTATAGTAAGATAAGCTACGTTCGAATTGTATATGATGTAAAAATGCCACATCACAAGAAATCATGCAAAAAAATAAAAATATCCAGACAATGGATAACAACACACTTGAAAAACCATATGCTGAAAATAAAATTACGAATTTTTTAATGATTTCAATTTCCTGGCAGAAAACGTATTGAACAATCATTTTGGAACAAAGAGATTGGGAAAAATGAGACATTCAAATGGAGGGTATATATTTTAAACATTTAGTGAAAATTAAGAACGAAGGTCTCGTACAGAGAATGTCACATTATTGTCACATGAAAACATTAAGTTCGATAAGTCGCATGTATCAAATTAATAACATTCGCGCCTTACGAATTATCGAGAAGCACATAACAAATTTATTTAATTGTAACAGAAGAAAGCAGGAGAATATCAACAAATAGACCCATGAATTTGATGAATTTTAAAAAAGTTTACCAAACACAACATGACACAAATTGTTAATAAAATATGGTAATATTTCGTGGTTGTTAGTTACAAATTTTATCCAACGTTAAGTTCATACTCTCCATAAACTTCCAAGATTGAACTATTTCCACAATTAACTATTTTTATAGACTGAACATAGGCTTGGAATCAAGAGACTAATAGAGCCGCTCGAGAACATCATTAAACGATGCCTGTTGAAGTGTTTATATGTCCTAACAATAATTTATTTCATAGAATATATAGTGTTCCTTCAACAATGACAATCTATGAGCTGTGGATGCATGTGTGTCATCACAAGTCACTTCGCACAGAACATCATTTACCTTTATTCATCTATCAAAAGGGATTTACGCGGGTCTGCCGTGTGAGCGAATTATATGAATAATAATTGAATGAATAATAACGATAGAAATTATTCAGTTGTCGGTTCTTCCGGACGCGCGCTTGCTTAGAAACCAAGCTTCATCAAGTGTCTGGTGGCAGCAACGCTTCCTGAATTCCGGCAGGAAGACAGGGGACGGCAAACAGCGCTAGCGTACGATGCTCTGCGGGGCAAATGAAGTTTAGCAATGCATGAGAGCAATTCTCCTATTTACATTTAGAAAGTTAACGCCGGCCGCTGCCATACGCAGGCTCGCCTGACTCAGAATGTGATGGTCTCTTGGTCAGATAATATGAATAGAGCAATAAATGTTCTGAGCAACAACGCCAAGAAACCGTCAACAGACGAAAGAAGCTTAATTAAGGAATCACAAGCTGTAAAACTCATGCACTTTAAATCACAGAAAGAGGCGTAAAGATTGTCTTGTCGATTAAACAACCGAAAAGAAAAATCCGTTCAAAAATATCATATTTGCGTCGCTTACTCGCTCATCGTTACAGAAATGGCCGTCATCTTTCCATATATTCTTAGTTTCAAAGAAGCTATCATTGCCATGACTTGCCGCAGCTTATTGGCATGCCAGTCACGTCGTCATGGCGCAAAGTATGTAAGGAATACTTCTCGTTGCGGAACACAAACAACATGCAAACCTGATGACTTACAAAATTGCATCTATTCGTGAATTTCCTACTTATTGCTCACCTTGCACGGTAACGTCGTCGGTTTCACCAGGAATTTTACTTATCCCTTTACCACGTTCTAACTACACATCCTTAACGTTCATCTATTCCTCATGCGATGTTAAAGTTTTGAATGAAGACGCCGACCAAAGAAAGATTATTTTTACCTTGACCACTTTATGGTATATCTAAAGTTTAATCTCATTGCCACCGATATAAAAATCGCACAATGCGTCAATTCAAATTCAGGACTAAATGATATCTTGATGCAATTAAATCGCTGTTTGAACCGAACAACTTGGCCAAATATTATTTAAATTCAGTATATTTTTTGAGGGCATTTAATTTACATTAAGTAAAACCAAGTAGCCGTATACTATTCTTAAGGCCAATATTCAGACCATTCCTGCGAGTTTTGAATCCAGAATTGTTGAGCATTTAAAAGTATTTCCTTTGTCAAAATTATCCTCACCAACTCTCGTAAGTTGACCAAATCTCAGTTGGGCCCCTAAATATATATCAAAAAACAAAGCTTCAAAACATATAAATGAATGACGAACTCTCATAAATAAATGCTGAACCATTCTTATGAATATTTTTTTGAGATGACGAAGTAATTATGAAATTGTTTATTTTCAAACGAACTAACTTCAACTAACTAGCGATCAACCTTATAATTCAAAAATTTAAATAACTGCGTATGATCTTGATGAGTTACACTTTCATTTTGAGGTAGATTCTACGTTCCAGGAAGTTACTGTAAGTTTTCATAACAACCTCGATTATCACTAAGATCTAAATGTCGTAGGTTGGAGTAGGTTTTTTGCAAAAATATATTAGATTTTTATGGCTTTTTTTACCTGCTAAAAGGCAGCCCTATACGAGTGTCAATCCTGATACTCGGTCATTTCTGTTCACATCAATTCATTGCATTGTTATGAAGAATTTGAGTTTGCCATCATCAATACCTGGAACAATTTCCAGAGTTTAACATAAATATTGAATGAAGAAAATCTGCTCAGATGCCATGTTAGACGGAAAACAGCCAGACGGAAAACCAGTTATGAATTGCAAAGCAAATGTGAAGAGATCATCTATAGCCAGAAAAACTGTACAGGGCACAAACTATATTTTGTATTCTCCAGTTTCACTTATTTCATCTTTAGAAGTAAATACATTAATAATTATACTTGGTCTCGAAGATTTATTAAACCTGTAGAATTTACAGCAACTGTGTGGGTGGGAAAAAAAACTTTTGATAATGACTACGTAGATTAATTTTTTTTTCTAATTTCAACTCGATCCTTCGTCGTGGTGAATTAATCATGCATTTAATAAAACGTGTTTTGCATTGTTGCAGTTGAACGAAACATTGCAAAACCGACCTGCTCCTGTCATCACATACTTCAAAGTTTTTCTTCTTTAAATAAATCTTATTATTTCGGCTCAGGAAAGCTAAAGAAAGCTCCAGTAAGTCATTGGAGAAGAAAAACATTGTCATGAGCTTACTTGGAAACATAACTTGTTTTGAATCAATTACTAGCATCCATATTTAATTCTGCTGCAGACGCAACAACAATCGGTCTAATCAACCAAAAATTGATAAAACTGAGTTCCGAATTTTCACCGATCGCTGATAGAATTTCATTTTATACCGAGATCAAATTACTCAAATTATTCCAAGAAAAGAGAAATTTTTGGGCGAACATTGATGTTTAAAACGCGTCGCCTTCTGCGCAAGCTCGTTTAATATACTTTTAAATTTTATCGAATAGAAAATAGGATATGCTGTTGATGATCTATTTCAGAACATTTTTCTGTTGACCTGTACTACAATAAAACAATTGGCACCGGCTTCAAGCAGTGTCATAACTAACAGAGACATTCCCTGTCCTTAGGTAAGGGTTACGGCGGTTTCTGACTTACATACACATCTACTTTGATGATGACGAAGTGGTTACAACAGTGTCTGACATACTGATACTTACTTGCTGTAGCGGGTAGATTAGTGTATGCACAATAGACAAGCCCACTTACTTGACGTAAGAGTTACAAATGTGTCTGGATACCAGACACATCCACTTACTTGCCGTAAGGGTTCACGAGTGTTTGGAAAACGGACATGACAGTGCATTTCAGTTTAACAGACAAATACACTTACCTGACATGGAGAGTACATCAGTGTCAGGATAATAGATAACAAACATATCCACTTACTTGACGTATGGGTCACATGAGTGGTGTGAAGAGGTGTTGCGAGATGGCAGGTTGCGCACCTTCAGCAGCGTGACCAGCAGCTTCTCACAGTCGTCGCGGTACTCGAGTCTGTACCACACTCGCCCCAGATGGTCGTGAGGGTAGCACGGCAGGTCCCCTGGCAGAACGTCGCCCGCTGTCTTGTACAACTCCGGGTCAAGGGCTCCCAGGTTTGCGATGTTTGTACTCGAGTCTGAGAAGCAAGAAATAATGTAACGAGTAAGTAGTGAGCCTTTAGATACAGTTACTTCTGCATGTGGAAAACAAATCATGAGTTGATGTGTTTATGAAAATCTGCATTTGGTCTTCTAATATACGATTAAGTTAAGTGCGGCGATGGCGACAAAAAACAGCGACAACGCTTAATTAAAAGCTGTACCGAGCTTGAAATATATTGCATAAGAAAATGCTGATTTCTACAGCACACTGCTTACAGAATATTAATATCAGATTGATGTTTCGAAGAAATGACAAGCGCTTACAAATTCATGTTAAAAAGGTGACAACTTGATATACAGAGAAGCTCAAAAGACCAATAGATTTTTATATTTGCCAGGTACATGTGATTGATCTCATACCTGGCAAATCACAAAACAGTATCGGTCTTCAAGCTTTATTCAGGTAAATTCCGTAAGCAATTATCTTCCATTTTTAGAAAGCTTAGTGTCAACAAATACCTGCATAAAATTACCAAAGTAAATATTTCTTTCTTACTAGAAAATTTTAAGATATATATTTCATGACTCGATCGAACATAATTTTTTAACACTAATCTGAAGAAGTTATATGCCCGAAATACCTAGGTAATATTTGATGGAAAATACGAACTTCAAAGATAACATGAACACCACGATCAATTGCAGTCATGCATATTTTGTCAAGAACCAAATTAAAACAGGTAAAAGAACATCCCCAAGTTGTTGACACAAATTTCCTGCTTCGCAAGGTACGGCAGGGCGCGGAGACTCAACAGCCTCAGCAATTCAAGGAACTGAGCTGTGTCAGGAAGCGACTTCTGAGCGCTTCATTAGCGAGGCGGGAGTTTTATGAGCGACACAAAAGGTTCGGGCTCGAAACGAATCTATAGCTTGCCCTTCCATTGCCTCGTCCTCCTCAACTCCGTCAAATCATTTCAAAGAGAAGAAGACTTGGAAATTTTATGTGACATTGTAAGGGAAATTCCATCAAGGATGACGCTAGATGTAATATACTATTTCCAGGTAGCTGAGGCGAAACAAAGGTTTCTCAAAGGTCAATTAGGGAAGTTTGCATGTGCATCGAGAAAACGATATGGTTAGAAGATGTAGGTTGTCAAAAATTTGTGGCCAGTTTGTTTGCAGATTGAAATCAGCAATAAAGGACTCGTGTTTACAGAATGAGCAAACAAATTGGATTTGCTAAACAATAACTGGTAAGATACACCACGCGCAATACATCTTGCTCTCATTGAACAAAATTGTTCCTTGTTTATCTTTCACAGCAAAAATTTGAGCTGGAGTGAAAAAAATGAATCATTTGTGTGTTTCAATTGCTCATTCATTTGCTTTTCATCATTTTCTTTTCAGGGGAGTTATCAAAGAAACCAAATGCGAGCCATTGCGAAAGTGAATCAGCCTCACCATTAAATTATCTCTGAAGAAATTATGACATGTCTATTCGATAAAAAGCTACTTATTATGTAATAAAGGTCACATGAGCCTTCATATGTTATCAGCATTTCTTGATATTATCATTAGATCAAAATAAACTGAAGAATAACCACGAAGCTTTCTCTATTTAAAACAATTTTTTCATGGTTGCCTTACAATCAATTCTTTAATTGAATGAGCTTGGCATTTCCGTAGAGGCATTCAAATGCCTCCACGATATATATAAACTAAATAATATGATACATGATATAAACTAAAAAAGGATTGAAAGCAAATTCGAATGTGATTCCAACAAGCTTCAGTCGAAGGAATTGTCGTGTTAGAAGAATATCCTAAAAAGTAGGCAATCTAGAATGCCTACACGCTGATCTAATGTGCAGAAATTTGACAAATTTCTGTAAAACAAGGAACATATTGAAAAAAATCTAAAATCTGTCACGTTAAAGGAGTCTGTTCACGATACAAAATAAAATCTGTGTATAACTGGTTGGCAACAAAATTAAATTTGGTTCACGTAAATTTATCGAGTCTTACATAGCTTAATTCTGCAAGTCAGACTGCTAATTATAACATTTGAAGCTTTTTTCTTTTGTAGCCTACATGAAAGACGGAAATAAAAAAAACTGAATTTTGCCTCAATATACTAGTATAATAATTATTGAATTTATAACAAGCTTACGGTGCATGTACTTCAGGCTTGCAGCGAAAATTAAAGCCAGAAGTTCTAAAGTTAACGTGTCCGACTTGAAAGATCGGACGATTACAGTGGCTTTTTACTGGAAATAATTAGCCTCGGATGTTGTTCCGCTGGAAAGAATGGTTGAAAATAGTGAAATCACTGCAGTAAAATCGCTTCGTGATATAGTGAATGCATGTATTATCTCTGCATGAATCCAAAATGATAGTTCAAAGATCCAATTCATTGTCAATGAACTGATATTAAATAATATTTTTCATAGCTGATATTTTAACTACTCTTGAGAGCAACGAGACAACTTTGGGGTAAAAGCCTAGCCTCCAGACATTCATTAGATGAAATAAAACTTTGAATGTGAAGCGAGAATGCAGGCAATGCCACATGACCAGGAATCATAACAAACACTGGAATGATGAAAAAGTCACTAAATTCGAAGTTTTAGTGAATTTTTTTTATTTTATTTTATTTTTCATTGCCTCGGTTTTATTTTTCAGTGCTCAACTGTGAAATGGACTCGGTAAAGAAGTCTAATAAAATCTAAAGGATTTAAAATATTTGTCCTTATTTTTCCAATTACTTCAATTATACACACAGTGATAGCTACGTATTGCCCGAAACTATTCACTCAACATTTCCAAGAAAAACTTACCGTTGGCATTATTGTTCGGAGAGGAAAATTAAGAGGAATCTCAGCGGAACACTCATTAATAACCAAGTTTAGAACAATTTGTATGCAAGTATTGTAATAACTGCCTATGAATTGTATGAAAGTGGAATTGAGCCTGGAACGAAAGTAATTGGCCCTGAGGTAAGCTGACCGCGCAAGTGTCTCACTCGATGGGCTGACTTCACAGCAGCTCAGCCGCGCGCGAGTTGACAATAGCCAAGCACCAGCAACGCTACATTGATATTCACAATAGCAGGCAAATTGGAAACCATGGTCAGGTAATCGACTGACTGCTGTAGTTTGTCTCACGACTGCTAAACTGATGGCTAATATTTTAAACAGGGGATGAAAAGGAATACTGACCATTAGAGTTTGTATATAGCTGCAGCCACGTCTTCAATATATTAACATAGTGATCTCGGCGCTGCAGTGTAGGCCTGATGTGGCCTGTCGCCGATTCTTTTCCTTTTCGTGCCTTGTTCACAGAAGATCTAAAATCGTATCATTTGACCGGATTTTTTCATGACTGACGAAAGTTTGAAATAACGACTCGACTTCCACCGGGTTCGATATGGTGCTAGGGATTTCAAATCTGAACATATATTTTTCCATAGCTTTATCTAGTCTGTTCTTGAACGCGTTCATACTTGATAGAACAAGAATAAAACTGGGCCACGCTATTCGGTATTTTAAAGTTGAAAAAATTATTTAATGTTAATATTAATTAATATTTTATATCATGATTATTATTTTTCTTCATTAAATTAATTGGCATTAGTTATTTATATGTTCGGACCATATCGTGAGAAATAGAACTATAGTGCTTTGTTAAACATATTAATAATTATATAAGCTTGAGCTACTATCAGTGTTTATTTACATCTATAGAGAAGACAGCGAACAGAACATTATAACTTTAGTTAATTACCCAATGTGTATCTGACGTTGAAATAGCGTTGATTAAACGTTGTTTCAACGCAACCACCTCATTTCAACGAAATTTGTCTGGAAGGTGAGATTAGGAAGCCAGCTCAGCTCGAATGTATTTGTCGCCCGTAATCCTCATCTGAATCCTAAAGCCACAGGATCTAATCCCAGCAATTAATGTCCATCAGTGACTTCATCCTTCAATTGAACACGCGAGAAATAAGATCATCGCTTATCATAACGGTATTCAATGTGAATGTATATACTCTTTATTTCCCTGTAATTATTCACAGTTATTAAAGGAATTCATTCATATTGTTCTACAAACAATATGGTAGCCAGTCTCTCAGTTAAAATATAATCACCAACATCTCATCCAGCGGCAGATAATCCGTGACAATCTAACAAGCGTATATATAGAGCCAATCATCAACACTTCGCTTCTTTTTTAAGACACTTCAATAATGTGAAGATCAAAGCTAAATGTTCCACAAAGAGACCGGAATTGAGAGGCGTGTGAGAGGCTCATAATGCATGGTTCTTGGGGACATTATGAGCTGGGAAACGCGTCGAATTGAACATTTCTTCAAATGATCGCTCAGTTTAGTGAGATGATATACACTAAAATAGGAATGAAAGCAAATTCGAATGTGGTTCCAACAAGCTTCAGTCAAAGGAATTGTCGTGTTAGAAGAATATCCTAAAAAATGCAAAGCTTTAGGTATCTGGAACTGATAAAGAAATTGGAACAAAATTTTGAGCTGTGACTAGAGCTGAAAAAAGACACTATGAACTAAAGGAACCATAAGAGTTTTAATAGAGTTAAGTAGACAAACAACTCTTAAACATAAACACAGAGCTACGGACCCCAAATGCCTCGCTACATGATCCAGAAGCAGGAAGGCCAAGCAGCTCAACAGGCAGGCGATGGCTCTCAATTTGCTTCGCTTTCATCCACTTTGCCAGACCATCAAAGATGTCGCGTCAACAACACCAACATCTTCAAATTGCACAACATGTGCTCCTGAGCGCCATGAGTCTAGCTCAAAATAAGTTATATATTGTCCACTCATCAATTTAAAAGCACATTCATGTTCATTAAATAACGGGAACGAAATAAGAACAAAAAGTTACGATTTAAAAAACTGAAACTAAGTAGGCTGGCACAATACCAGCACTCCAGCAGCGTAACAAGCTTGCTCCGGCGTCTGGGCTAACAAATCAGGTAAACACGATGTAGAAGAGAGTTGAATAAAATTGATTATTGAAGAAATTTTTGAAAACAAGGTAAAATAATTTATGACATCAACCATTCTGGGTTGCAGTTTATTGAACCCATGAAGCAATCAAAACTGCAAATTATCCAATTTTAGGTACAAGTACGTACGTAGCTCGTCAGAGTATGCGTGTAAATTCAACGTTCGTTGCCTGTGTTTCTATCTTGCCTAATTAGTGATAGATTTTATACGTATTTGAAACAAAAATAATATTATAAAATGAACTACATGACACCTCCTCAAAGCATAAAATGCATTAAATCTTGAACTTAATGAAATGACTTCCTTAGTAGCATTACGACTGTGATCCATTACTTCCCAATGGATCACAGCGCTCCCTCTGCCCACTCACTATACAGGTCCTCTCAACGCGCCTCAAACTGGATTGATAGAACAGCCGTACGCTTCGGATGAAATGAACGAATTTTTACGGGGCGGGAATGAAATATTTAATTATTGGCCATCAAAGACCGAATAAAAACTTCCCACTGATACGTGCCGGCATAATATTTGGAAGTTTTAAATGAAAAACAAATTCTGAAATGGCAGCTAGCGTTTGCTCTTCTGCCTGAAATAAATAATGCTCAACATCATTCCACATTTCCTTGATATATTGCAGTAAAATTTAGTTATCTTTCACAAATTTGTTTAGGCTTATGTGAGTTATATTTTTGTGAAAAATTCAAACATTGAATAAATAGGATGTATGCTTTGCATAAAATATTAAATAAAGTCATGGTATAGCAAGAGGATAATTCAAATAAAAATGTCAATGAAAAGCTGGATGCAGCAGAGGCTATTTAAGCGTAAATAGTTTAAGGAAAAAAGAAGGAGTTGGGCTGACTTTTCCTGGCGTACGATGCTCTTCACGAGCTTCAAATTCCGTTCTCGGTGAGCAAATACCGTTTCAGCGGCCCAAGTGCGTCCTTTTTATCGATTGCACGAAGTAATATCAAGAGATTAGATTTTTAAATAACGCGACCGAATTTCGGATATATCTTATCAGAGAGCTATGAAAAGTACGAAATTAGTAGATTTTTAGTTTTCACTCCAGTTAATAAATTGGATGTACGAAACTACTCCATGTTATTATAAAATGGCAACAAAAAGCGTCAAACTCAATCAAGATAATGGAGTCAAATTGATTACTGTATTGAGCTTGAATATTCGATGCTGCCTTTAATAACTAAAAATATTTTTAATTATAAAAAACATATCATATTCAATTTAAAATACATATTTGCGTACCTTTTGAAGGATCGAGTCTTGCAAAGCAATTGCCAATGTTCGCATTATGAACAAATAATAGTCAGCATGCTGGATTGAATCGTTCGTAAGTTGCTCATGCAAATTAATTTTATACAGTTGAAAATGTTCGTTGGTTGGGCGAAGAAGCGAACTGTATTCGTGCTAAGCAGTTGCGTGCAGAGCCCTCGCTAGCCTGACTGTCGTAGATAAGATGTACTTAATTGAGGCGATCAAAATTCGCTACATTGCTCTACCATGAACATTAATAAATTTCATCGCATCATTGGGTTAAGAGGGAGAGCCTGTTTTTATTGCAGCTTTCTCGCTTAGAAGCCTTAAAACTGTTGTGACAGCTTCAGAATTGGGATGAGTTATTGAAACTGAAATCTGACAAATAAGCAATCCTTCAGAAAGATCACAAGATCTGCCACAATGAAACACAAATAGATTACCTTAATTGCGTGGATTGTCAACGAAAAATCAGAAAAACAGACGAGGCAACTTAAATTGAAAATCGTTAAAAAGTAAACGACGCAGGAATGATAATATTGCTGCAGCTGATCAATCTAGTATAGTATAGTATAGTATAGTATAGTAGAGTATAGTATAGTATAGTATAGTATAGTATAGTATAGTAGAGTATAGTATAGTATAGTATAGTATAGTATAGTATAGTATAGTATCTTCGGCATTTAAAGAATAGGCCTGGATAGGCCTGTCGTCGATTCTTGTACTTTCTATCTATCAATCTATCTATTTTGTATTCTATCAATCTATCGCAGACAATTACTAAACTAGCTGCATGGAAGCAGCAATGGTCATGTTTATCATTGAAATTGACACAAAACTTGATTATTGATACTTAAGTTAAGAAAATTTAAGTTTTGAAATTTGATAACTTAATAATCAGCCGATGAAGATCTGAATTTCTTTTCAATACTTGACGCCGAATTAGGAAATAAGAACCTCAGCAGCCCTGTTGGTTTATTCCCTCATAATTGTTCATTTTTTGTTAACATATTTGTACTGCATCACAATCAATTGATGGCAAAAAAATAATAGAATAAAAAAGATAAAAAATTAGATAAAACATTGTACAGGCAGGCCATTGAGTGACAAAGAAGTTGATCTCCGTTATTTTAATATCTAAAATTATAATAAAAATAATAATCCCGAATTATATCTCAAAATATAATATTCATAACGATTGTGAGTCTCACCACCTCACAAATTATGATGACCATTCTCAGAGCCTGTTCTAGTACCTTCATCATACATGTCAGTGTCAGCTCATCATACCATGTCACTGTCAGCTCATCACGCCATGTCACTGTCAGCTCATCATACCATGTCACTGTCAGCTCATCATACCATGTCGCTGTCAGCTCATCATACCATGTCAGTGTCAGCTCATCATACCATGTCGCTGTCAGCTCATCATACCATGTCGCTGTCAGCTCATCATACCATGTCGCTGTCAGCTCATCACGCCATGTCACTGTCAGCTCATAATACCATGTCACTGTCAGCTCTTAGTTCCTTTAATTAATGAACTTCATTAGCGAATGAAGTTCATCAGGGAGACGAGTCTTTCTTTGCCACGCGACGACTCACCGACTTAAGTAATCTCACCAAGACGTTCTTCATCGCAACCTTACTAACTCGTTGATTCAACCTGAATTAATATCTTTAATAAATAATGTCTAGCATAATTGAGTATATTTCTCTGTCTGTGGTTATCAAATAACTACTATCATGTATACTAATAAATTATCTTGTTATTCTTCAGAAAAAATAACTTTGAAGTAAATATCAATCAAGACATATAAAATAACGTAACATTTTATTGAATCGAAAATTATAACCGAATTGCTATCAGAAAATCATCAGCTTTTAACTATCGCTAGAAATAAAGATGTGTTGCTAATAAAACTATTGCACCATGCAAGTGACGTCGAAACAGTGTTGATTAAAGATTTTATATCGGTAACAGTGTTAATAAGAAAAGATTTTATATCAGCCGCCACTCACGCGAGAAGCTCGAGGTCTCGACCAGGTTGGAATTTATGGCCTCGGCGGCCCCGTGAGGCGACGACTCGCCTGAGCCGCCGCCGAACCGTCGTGGGATGAGGGGGGACAGAAGGCCTCCGTCGAACGCCTTGCTCCCGTCAGGGATGGAGCGTCGGGGACAGAGAGGGGACAAGCTGTCCTGGAATGATTTGCGGGGATTGCTTGTGGGTGACGGCGGAGGGAAGGGGCGGCGCGGGCTGAGTGGAGACAGAGAAGGTGGCACCGTGAAAGCGATGTCCTTTGATCTGTAAATGAACGCAAGAAACTCATTAGAAATCTGTTCCGTTTTAACGATTTCCTGCAACTCAGTCATGAGCCTCAAAATTTGCTGGCAATTTGAGGATTTTAGCAGATTTATTATTTTAGATTTTATTTTAGTAGATTTTTAGCTTAGCGTGTTCTAAACCACCTTGATTCCTGTTACACTCCTTAAATCTAATAAATAATAAACGAATGGCAATACCAGTGGGCGGAGATGTGGAAAAGAAAGCAAACAAAGAGTCAGCGTTGAATAATAATTCCTGCTGTACAACAGATACGCGCACAAGACAAAGAATATCTGATTGGTAGATAGACCATTCTTATAAAAAGGAACGTTTCATTAATTAATTTTTTCAGGTCTTTGTAGATAAACATCGCCCTAATTTAATGTTTAACTGGCACAAGAGACGCACGACGAAAAACAGGTAGCAGTACCACATGTACAGTGGGTGCAAAAAGTATCCGACACAAAGGAAAAACTTTATTATTTTGAACCTTAACTTTTTCAGAATAGCAATTATCAAGTCAACATTTAAAGATATTATTGTTTTGATATGCTATTTGTATTTTCCACGTAAATTTACATTAGAATAGTGTTTATTTTAATTTCTGATAAGCTTTAATTAACTAAGTATTCCTTTGTGTCGGATACTTTTGGCACCCACTGTAATTACATAATTGGTTTGCTTTAACTGCAAATCAAACTTAAATTAAAATACAAGGAAAAAACCAAAGAAATTCACTATACTTTCATTGAAAACGTTTCGGAGATTCGCTCCATCATTAGTTCATAACTTCAAGGACTTTGTGATAACAGTTGAATGCTTGAAGATTTTGGAGCAGGAAATGGCTTCGCAGCACCGCTTTGAATTAAAATATGGTGAATTTTCTACGATTTCCTTCTTGCTTTAAAATTTTTACAGAAATTATTTTTCGCTCAAAAAATCCTACAACCAATGAGACGAATATTCGACAATAAGAAACTTATAAATAAATATTGTCTGCACATGTAATTTTAATTGCGTCTGTACTGCAAGAGTCTAAATTACAGTTTTGATTTTATAAAATATTGAATTGCGTTACCACGAACAGTTCATTATATTTTAGGGATTTATTATCTGGAAACACTGGTATGAAATTATTAGCTACCATTTTGAATCTGCGCTATGTTGAAATGGTTAAAGATGAGCCCTGTATAGAAGCACTATAGACATCTATAAAGTTTGTGAATATTTTGTTAGTGAATATTTTGGGAGAACTTTGAGGACTGATTTAAGAGGTAACTGCGGGAAAATGTTTAACATTACATGTGATTGATTGGAGCTGGCAAATATGAGAGAATACTGATTAATTGAATATTGGTTTTAAAACTGGTTGGGTTGAGAGAATGTTTCGCACTGCCGTATGTGTAATATATGTTTGGTACCAACAATAGGCAAGAGTGTTTGGTACAGGTAAATAGGGTAGAATGTTTCGGACAGGGGTAATGTGGGTGAATATTTGAGCGGTGTTGAATATTGGAGAATGTTGAATGTTGAGTGCTAGTGAAAGTTAGAGAATGTGTGGTTGTGGGTAATACGGAAAGTTGGGGTTGAAAGTTTTATTAACATATATTAATCCCGGTTCAAATTCATGTTTCTAGGCCATTTGCGTCAATGTGTCGCGGTGATACATATTTTCTATTTATCCGTCCAGTGTGCATATAAATATATATGTATAGCGTACAGAAATTTCATTTTATTAACTTTTTAATTTAACGTACTTTTCAGATTCGGCCGTGTCCGTGCCGAAGCTGTCAGGTGCCAAATACGCGCGCCTCATGAACGCCCCAACCTCACGTGGTCTATGACCTGGTTCTAATCAGATGCTTATTTTGCACGCACAACCAGAGCGATATAGAACAGATAAAAAAGAAAAATGTCGATTTGGCAAGCAAGGAAAAGAAGAGGCCTGTATAAAAGCAATGGCAGTAAAGTGATGGCATAGGCGTGAATAATTCTGGTCAAGTTATGCAAGATAGATGCCGTGGGCAACTCTTCTGCGCCTGAAACGATGCCGATGTTCCTGCCTTCATTTCTTATTCTGGGTTACGGTAACAGCAATGCGTACCGAGCCCACGATAATACGGGATAAAAATATCCTCTCGTGAACGAAAAAGCATGCCTGATTAATAGATATATTTATTTGATCAGGCAACACAACGGCGTGCAAGAAATATTTAATTTTCAAGTGCTCATGGGAAATGGAATACTTAAATCATTTCTAAATAAATTAGAATGGTCCATATACCTCGCAAAATTGGGGAAGAAGCTCATAAAAAACGATAAGCACAGAATCAACCGTAACCGAACCTTAAGTAGAAATAAATTTTAAAAAATGTCCCACTTTATTAAGCCATATTACTTTCACATTCAGTCAGAAATTGCAGCTTAGAAGTTAGATATCGAATTTGATTAATATGCGATAAATAACGCAATTTTTATTTATTACGCGAAAAATATTTTTGTTATTATGGGTGTCGAAAAAGTTACGTTGGAACACGACCTGCATGATCGCATTTTAACTTTCATATTTTAAGGCAGAAACTAGCCTCTGTAATGACTTGCATGATCAAAAGACCGAATTAATAAAGAGACTGAAGTATTCTTTAACTGAGCTTTTCTCAAAGATTTTTGTTTTGGTAATCGAGTTGTGGGAAAAGTAGTTTATTATTTCCCTTCTAAATAGTTTAGGTTTATGATTTCCCACAAAAATTAAAAATCGTCATGCCCAATTAATGACTCTATCAATCAAACAGTTTAGTCCATAATTAATACAGAATTCATTAAAAGCAATGCCATTTTTATTCAAAACTTGACAGCTATTTCACAGCACCATCCTTAAACTTCATGCAAGGTTTTATCAACATATGTAGTTGCAAACACAGAAGCTCAGTTTTTTATTTCGAAGGCGAGGGCTCATTGCAGCTTCGAATTACGTTCACAAATTAAATTTTATCATTAAAATGGATTTGTGCAGTGTCTCAAAATTTCTAAGCTTATCCGTTGCATTTATAACTTGGATTGATACTTTAATTATCTTTTGAGGATCCATTAATACAGGCAAATAAGTGGTTGGGAATAAACATTTTTTTGGTACGTTTCATTCTAATTACGTTGAAACGTTGTTGAAACGTTACGTTGTTCTTTCTAATTAGAGATGTTCAATTAAACGCATTTGGGGCAATCCCAAAGGGTTTCAGTAATGATTCGGAGGCGGCTTATCCGGGAAGGCAGGTCTTTTTGCAAAGCGAGGTCGCCCCAAAACGGAGGGGAAACGGCAGAAACCCGCTCACTTTTAGATGATCTAAACTGAAGGAGGATTGAAAGCAAATTCGAAAGTGGTTCCAACAAGCTTCCTTCAAAGCAATTATCCTGTTAGAAGAATATACTAAAAAATTCAAGGTTATCTGGAACTGATGAAGAAATTGGAACAAAATTTGCGAGCTGTGACTGAAAGCTGAATAGAGACAGTATGGAATAGGTCAAATACTTATCTTAAACATCACTGTTGTAGAGGCCTGGACACAAAGCAGGAAGCAAAAGTTTATCAAGGAAAAAAGCTTGCAAACAGATTTTAGGAAAGAAGGAAAATATTTCACATTAAATGTACTCCGTTGATGGCTCTAATTCTTTGTACTCACTTTCAGCTTTTTCATCTTTTGTAATTATCTTAAAATCTAAAAAAAATGTTTGTCAGTTCTGTATATTCTCTTCTAAGCTCAAGATATTCGAGTAAATAAATTGCAAACAAATTCAACATTAATAAATTTTATAAATATTCGATTCAAACAGAAGTTACATGCATGTTCATACAACATTGAACCTTGAATTATTGCAATAATTAAATTCATTCGTAAATATCGCAATGAATGCAAATTATAATTCTCCTATTCAACTTTTTGTCAACGGTTAACTTCAAAGTATAATTAAGCCCCTTGATCCGCTGCCCTTAGAAAGGATTGCACAGGACACTAACAATGCAGGAAAAGAATTTATAATATTCCAGAGTTTGACGCTTGAATTCCGTCACTCAAAGTCTTTCGCAACTCAAAGGAATCGTCCGGCTAAAGCTGTTGGCGCTGCGTCCATGCAACACCAGCAAGGCAAGAACACGGCCGTACTCGAAAGCTTGTGCAATACAAACACCTGTGCGCACCACCAGCAAAGAGTGGTGCAACACAGGAGGTGCAGGAATGGTGCAACACAGGAGGTGCAGGCGTGGTGCAACACAGGAGGTGCAGGAATGGTGCAACACAGGAGGTGCAGGAGTGGTGCAACACAGGAGGTGCAGGCGTGGTGCAACACAGGAGGTGCAGGAGTGGTGCAACACAGGAGGTGCAGGCGTGGTGCAACACAGGAGGTGCAAGAGTGGTGCAACTCGCGCGCGGATAACAACGAGCATCGAAGGCGTCAAAAACGGAGCGCCTATCGTTTGGGCAGAAGCGGATTAGAATGCAAATGAAGTCAGCGTTGGCTTTGTGCGCGCTCAGGTGAAATATCCCTCAGACGGAACCCTTATCCCGAATTTAATTTGATGTCAAAGTGCTCTGTTTGTAAAGCCAGTAAATAACAACTATAACATTCGACGAGTTATTTTTTTGTGGGAATAAACGTTATAAATTTAGTTTGCTTTACAAATAATTTCCTATAATACTCCCGAATATCCAGGAAGGGATACATTTAAGGACGGAATAAATTCATTTGTGGACTGACACTACGTCTATTTTTCAAGATTTACTTATCTGAATGATTTCAATTGAATACATGGTTATTATTATTGACCAAATATTCATTTCATGAACATGAAAAAATTTAGTCATGAAAAAGTTAGTGAAATTTTGGATGTGATATCCGTAGAGTGTGTAAATTTAGTTCTTCGACATAAATATGTAGTACAAATCGATGTCTTCGATTTGCGGTCAAACTATAGAAGCAAAGGTAAA